CCCGAAAGGCCCGCCAACTCAGGGCTGAGGCCAGCAGGAGGTGAATCCGCCTCAGGGTGTTCGGGAGGGGCCTCGGGGGGGCCAGCCTCCGCAGCAGCGACAGCATCAACTCTCTCCTCCTCCTCCTCCTCCGCCTCCTCCTGTCTGGCCTCGCCGCCCCGCAGCCCCCACTCTCCAACGTCATCAAGGTCAGCCCATGAGCTCCAACGCTGTCGAATCAGGCGTTTTCATAATAAAAAACTTCGGCCCTGGCAATGAGGCTCAAAACCAAGCGGGCAGAGAGCAACAGGCCATTTGGACGCAAACAATCAAACTCATCGTGCCTGCTGGGCGCAGCTTCCTTTTTTGCAAGCCTGTCCGCCTCATGGTTGCTTTGCCCTTCGAAGTCCGAAATGCGTCCCTCGTGGACGTCAGGCTTGGTGGAGTGACCACGGTCCTTTTTAAACGTGACGTCCTCTAGGTCACTCTTCGAAAAGACTCTGCACTAAAGGTGGGCGCGCACTTTGGCAGATCTGGCCGCGTACCTGCGGTCGACACAGCACTGCGGGGTGCCGCGGCACTCGGTGTGAAGCGGGAAGCTTCCATCAATTAATTTGGACGCCATAAAGGCAGCATAGTCCCCATCGGTCCTCGCAACCTGGTCAGGGCAACTCAATGGCGGCACTGATCAGTGCCACTCAGCAAGTTCCCGCCTCTCGTGGCCAAAGACTGCCCCCCCACACCCAACTGTTCTGCGCGAGGGAAACAACTCGTCCACTCCCGACCCGTCACGACAAAACATGCCACTCTGGAGCATGATCGGCGACGCTCCGCCTTCGATCCTGAGCTCTATGGTCGGATCCCAAGGCTTTCTGCACAACGGCTAACATTGGCCGGGGACAGTGCCAAAAGCAAGCCGTTCTTGCAACTCGACCGACAGTATCTGAACTCTCTTGACCAGGGGCTTGATCTCATCTGGGATGTTGCCCCTCCCCCAGGCGTCCCTCGCGGCACTCGACATGCTACCCCTGACACCGCAACGCAAACAGTCATCCGGCAGCTGCGGTCATGCTGCCTGCGTCTTTACTGGCACCAATGCGAGCCTATGACCAGACCTCCGAAGGTCCTTTGCACCCCAGCGCCCAGGCACCCCCAGATCTCACTTACACAGAAGAACAAGAAGAAGAGGAGGATGCGGAGAAGCAAAGAGAAGGGGGAAAAAACGAAACATGGAAGAAGGGAGAGAAGCAGGATGAGGATGAGGAATATGGAGGAAGGAGGAGGAGGAGGAGGAGAAATGGGGCGGGGGAGAAGCGAAGGAAAAAGGGGCGAGGAGGAGAAGGAGGAGGGAGGGGGGAGGAGGAGGTATGATGAAGACAGAGGGAGGAAGGAGGCAGGGACAAAAAGGGGGGGACAATGGAGAAGAGGCAGGCAGGACGGACGAAGGAGGCATGGTAGAGGATAAGAAGACAAAGAAATGATGCCAGCTGGGGGACATGCTGCCACCGCGCTCCACTACCAACCCGCAAGGCATCCTCGTGCAAGGCTGCCCTGCGCCAGACCGAAGATCCGATGGAGGATTCCAACGCGCCAGGGAGGCAGGAGAGGGGGGGGGGGCCTCGCCACCTCCCAAAAGACTCCACGCATGGCATCCGTGAATCCCGTGGTTCCACCACCATGTCCAAAGACGGGCAGCGCCACCCGAAGAAAGCCAAGGTCGCCTGGAAAGCCCCGAGGGGGACTCTCGACACACCGCAGGCCCTTCGGAGACCTGGCCAGTGGGTCCTGCCACCTATCCCTGCTGCGGTCGGCCAGCGAGGGGTAGCGAAACACACGGGTAAACCAAGCGCCGACCGGTCTCCGAACATACATGATCGCAGGGGCCCTGCCGGTTCCAAGCGAATCCATACAGCTGTGGTAACACAAGCGCCCCTCTGCGGGCACTTACTGACAGACCTTGCCTGGCCTTTCAGTTGCTCGATCATCGAGGCGGAGAGTCCGCACACCTCGGGAGCCCAGGCCGCCTTGGGGAAACAACTGGCGACGAAAAGCTTCGCCGGTTCGTGGGGTTGTGCTCAAAACCTGACGTGCGCAAAGCGGCCTTGCGCCGTTTCAGCATCCTGAGGCGTCTGACCTTAGGAGGAGGAGGAGGAGGAGGAGGAGGAGGAGGAGGAGGAGGAGGAGGAGTCTGACCTTGACCGAGCGAGTGGCCCGCATCGCGGCGTCGTGAGCCAGGTGCTCTGGCAGCGAAGGTGGTCTTGGACTCTTCGGCTCCACCTCCGACCGCCCTCGACCAGGGAGGTCTTCGGCTCCACCTCCGACCTCCCTCGACCAGGGAGGTCTTCGGCTCCACCTCCGACCTCTCTGGCGTCGTGACCAGGGAGGTCTTCGGCTCCACCTCCGACCTCCCTCGACCATCCAGGCATCAGGGGCCTCGCGTTCGCGGACGAGGCCATCGAGCAGCACTTGGGCAGGACCAACCCACTTTTTCTTCTTCTTCCTCCTCCTCCTCAGACCATAAGCCGGGGCTCGAAGGACGAGTGGGGAAGCCAAGCGGAGGGCGTGCTCCGAACCAGGCAAACGACAAGAT